TATTATTTATTGTATTATTTTCCATACAAACAACTTAAACCTGCTTTCCCACCATCCTGTATATAGCATGTTTGTCTTCTAATGGGAATAATCCTGTGTGTGTTGAGAGGGACCTGATTTAGGAGGAGAGTATGAAGTAGTGTTTTCTATCAAAAAATACAAAGAGAAAGTAGTTATCACTAGCTTTTGATCCCCAGAATAGGTTTAGTAAATGAACAGATAAACAAGCAAACACTTATGTTACGTGAACTAAAATGTGAGGGACTGTCTTTCCAGTCCCCATTTTTCTCAGCTTAGAGCTGCCCTTCCTCGTCAGTAGGAGTGGTACTTTCCCAGCCCATCTGAGCTACTTTTTGTAGCCAACCCTTTTGAAAGTGGAGAAGTAGCAAGTCCCCCCCCCCCCCCCCCCAGCATCTTTGCTTCGGTGAGATTAAATAGAATGAGCTTGAGAGTTCTTCCAGAGCTGGGACAGTGTGATGAAGCGTATCTTCAGGTGACGATTTCAATTTATACATGTTAACGTGTATTTCAGATGCCCTAATTATTAGGTAACCTGTCTCAGATCCACAGTCCAGTCTGGCCTAACCACTCCATGCTTAGAACAGAGCAGGTGCACTTAGAGGAGCTCCCAGTATAATTTCCCTCAAAAGACCAAAGCTGAATGTGGGACCTAATTCTTTAATGGGAAATAAAAAAAGTAGCCACTGTGTATGCAAGCTAGATTTTTAAAAAATACGTTTTTATTGATTTTTAGGGAGGGAGAGAGAGAGGGAGGGTGGGTGAAATCAATGTGAGAGAGAAACATCTATCCACTGCCTCCTGCACGCAACCCAGGCATGGGCTCTGTCTGGGAATTGAACCAGCAACCTTGCAGTGGTTCTCAACCTGTGGGTTGCAACCCCTATGGGTGTTGAATGACCCTTTCACAGGGGTCGCCTAAGACATAACAGTAGCAAAGTTACAGTTATGAAGTAGCAACGAAAATAATTTTATGGTTGGGGGTCACCACAACATGAGGAACTGTATTAAAAGGTTGCGGCATTAGGAAGGTTGAGAACTACTGGGTGTGGGATGATGCTCAACTAACTGAGCCACACCGGCCAGGGCTCAAGCTAGCTTTAAAAAAAAAAGCTATTCAGGCATATTCTCCACTCCTTATACTTCCCAGAAAGTGAAGGGACTTTCCCCTGTGTTGTAGTTATATAATGCTTTATAACAAACTACTCCACAGCTTGGTGGCTTAGAACAAAGTCAATCATTTATTTTATTCACAAATAAACAATGTTGGCTGGGCTTGGTGTGAATACTGCTGGAGCAACTTGACTGGGTCTGGAGAATTTACTTTGAAGAGGGCTTGTTTACTTGGCTGTGTGACTGCTGCGCAGGGTGACTTCTGTTTTCTTACAACATGGTAGGTGCGTTTCAAGACCAAGTATTTTAAGACAAATGAAAGCTGTCAGCTGTTTTTTTTAAACAACTGGGCCCAAAACTGGCCCAGTGTCATTTCTGCTATAGTCTAACAGCCAAGCAGTTTTAGCTTGCCCAGAGTTAAGGGTCACAGGCCCCGCTACTTGATGGGTATCAAAGAATTTTGAATTTATGACTATTTTAATCACACACTATGATCACAGAAGGGTGAAAATGTTGGAGCAGCACATTTTCTTCTCCAATGTTCACTTTTTTCTGAAGGAGTAGTGACTTAACTGCTTGTTGAATATTGTAGAAGGAACTCTAGGTACTCGACTGAGCCCCTTTTACTTGGGAGTCTCTCCAAAAGGCAGCATGCATTTTAGCCTGCTGTCCTAGCACATGGTAGTGAGGTTAGTGAGGTTTTTTAGCTAAAGGTTGTGCTAATATAGATGTAACAGAACCATTTTAAAGTACATTAACATAATTCTCCAGAACTTTTCATCACCCGGGTGGAAACCCTGTAGCCCTTAAGCAATCATTTACCATTACCTCCTTACCCCAGCCCCTGGCAACCATTAGTCTGCTTTCTGATTGTGTATTTATATATCCTGGATGTTTCATATAAAGGGCATTATGTAGTGTGTGGCCTTCTTCACTTAGCTTGTTTCCAGGGGCCATCCATATTGTAGCATGTGTTAGTATTTCATCCCCTTTTTATGGCTGAGTAATATTCCATTGTATGGATGTACTGCACTTTTATTCATTAATCTGTTGATGGACACTTAACATCATTTGGAAATTGTGAAAATGCTGCCATAACATCTGATTTGACCTGGTCAAGGGTTGGGGAGGGGTGGAGGGCGACCCTGGCAGGGATTAAGAAGGAAGATTTAGGATTCACATACTTCGAAGGGGTTCATAAACTCCCCCACCTTATGGTCATACTCCCTCCTACTCCAGGGGGTGACAAGTATAACAAGAGCTAATGTTTTGTTTAGTTAGTGTCAGGTTTTGGTCTCAGCATCTTGCATGCATTAATCTCAGTTCTCACATCTTTTTTTTTTCCCAATATGTTTTTATTGCTTTTTTTAAGAGAGGAAGGGCTAGAGAGAAACAGCTGCCTCCTGCACGCCCCCTACTAGGTATCGAGCCCGCAATCCAGCATGTGCCCTGATGGGGAATCGAACTGGGACCTCTTGAGTCCATGGGATGACGCTCAATCCACTGAGCCACACTGGCTGGCCTCAGTTCTCATATCTTATAGGATGAACGGCGTCCCCATTTTATAGGGAAGAAAAACTTTTAACCTGAACTTCCTCCAGTGGAGGTGGGCAAGGTGGAGAGTGTCTGCCAGAGGGGGTGGTAAGTGGTATTTACAGGGTTGAGCAAATCTTTCATTGGCATCTATTTTGAGCCATTCAAACAGTTCTTGCCTGCCCCTTCATACCAATTCAGAGAGGGCAGGGGTGTGGTCAGGGCTGGGTGGGGAGCAGCATTCCACTACCCTTGACCCAGGGACATGACCCTTGGCAGCTGAAGTTCTCAGGACTGGGGGAGCAGTTTGTGCTTGCTATATTCTCTGGGGCCGCCAGAGGGCAGTACTTGCTCACACCTTGGCCTCCCTGTGGCCATGTTTGGGAACATAAGAGCAGTAGCAGTACTCAACCCCATCAGACTCAGTGCCTTTCTTTTAAACAACTATTTCCTAATGTCCCCTTTAATAAAGCTTACCTAAGGAAATAATAATTATGATGCCTTAACGCTAAAGAACAGAAAAGGAAAGGAACTTGTAATAAAGGAATGGGCTTCAATATGTAATGGCTACACTAGACAAACACGATGGAGTAGTTGAGTGCTTGTGTCCATGGGTGGGTCGCTGTGAATGAAGAATTAAGGATGAGGGTGGAAGTAGGTGTGTTGTGTTCATGACAAATGCAGTGTGGTTTTTCTGAAATGACAGACAACTCTTGGTAAAGTTAAAAAAAAAAGGAATACAATTGTCCCTTTATTGTATTCTTGGAAATTTTAGTGAATATTAAAATTGCAAAAAAGATATTTTTATTTATGTATAGAGTTAGATTCGGTGCCCCTACAATTATAAACAGGTTTTTCTCATTTGGTCCTACATGAATGTCCAGTGGGATATTTGAAAACCAATTCTTTTTTGTCTTCGTTGAGAACTTGAGCCTGTACTAGGGGACGAGGTGCCCTGTCTTTCCACTGCCAAGTTAAGCCACCGGAGAGCCTTGTGTTACAGGTCCTCAAACCCTCCCGAGTGCCCATCACAGTGCCCAGTGTGGGCTCACTGAGGACAGTGGACTGACTGAGCCCTTCCTCTCTGGCTGAGGGTGACTCTCGTGCAGCTGGGGTATGTCGCCAGGACCCTAAATATGAGAGTTGATATAAACTGAAGCCAGGCAGGAGATGCCCAGGTGCTCTTCCGGAGAAGAAAAACCAGGGCTCCACATTTTCTTAGGCAAGGTCCATCCACCCAGAAGGGCTCTTCCAATGCCTGGCACCCTACGCAGGTATTCTACTCACAATTCCCGGGACTGCATGCCCTTGTGAAAGGAAACAGGCAAGTGGTTCTAACTCTCACTTTCTGGCCAGAGCCAACCAGTAGCCGGGAGAGTGGCTGAGTCCTGTGGCTCTATGGGGGTAAAGGCTCAAACCTGGCCTGTGCTGGCCAGATGGCAGCTTCCCTCGCTGGTACCCAGTAGGTTTCGTGCCAGCAATGCATCAGCATCTCCCAGCCTCCTGTGTAGGCCATCATTGGCACATGGCTGCCCATGGAGGTTTTGTTTCTTGTCTTTTTTTAAAAAAAATATTTAAAAATTGATTTTTAGAGAGAGAAGGGAGAGGGGGAGAGAGAAACACTGATGTGAGAGCGAAACATTGATCACCGCTGCACACTCCCTATTGGGCATCGAGCCTGCAACCCCGGCAGCGTGTGCCCTGATCGGGAATCAAACGGGCGACCTTTTGATGCATGGGATGATGTTCAACCAGTTGAGCCACACTGGCAGGGCTCGTTCTACGTCTTGGCTGTAGCAGCTCTGGCGTCTGTCACTGATGGCGTTTACAGTCGGAGGGCAGGTGGGTGACACCAGCCTGGTCTCAGAGTCCTCTGTGAAATGGGGATGGGCAGACTAGGTCAGTGAGTCCCACGCTTCATTCACTCAAGTCCCATCTTTGCAGTTTTTTATATCTATGAACTACATGTGCTTTTTATTTATATTGAAATGACCCAAGGACAGAAGAGTCAGAGGTGTGTGGTGTAAAATGACTTGCTGGTGAGGGGTTGATTTTGGACATGTTTCTGCTTCCAAGACCAATTTCCAAGGGATGCCACGGATAGCCCTGCTTCATTGGTCAGAATACAGCATGATCAAGAGCGTTCTAAATAAGGTAATGCTTTCAGCACTGATTATATGATATCCTCTGGTCATGTGATTAGGTCACATAGATTTCAATTTCAACTGAAACTTTCCTTTCTAAGTTCCTTCTGCTCTTCTCCAGTGTGTCAGAGCATGATGACAAGAGGACCATGGATTCCTAAAATCACACCCAAAAAAGTGTATCTCAGCACATCATGGTTTGTTCACCTTCATTAGAGTTTAGGATACAGGACCAACAAGATGCTGGAACATGGTCTGGGAGAGAATAGTGCCAGTTTACTCTGGACCACTGATATAAACGACCTGCATTTCATTGTAGAGCTTCCATGATTACAGCAATGATCTCTGAAAGACCTCTGTCCACACTGACTTGGATGAAATTTTCTGGAGCTGATGGGGGTTCCAGAGTATCAAACTGGGACTGCAATAACTCAGGGGGCATAAAATGTCCTTTTCTTTTGCGTAAGCGTCCAGAGATGACCTCAAATGACCCACTCAGATAGACCACAAGGAGCGTCACCTCAGCCAGCTTTCCTTCCTTCCCCGGCTCATCACACTTCGGAGGCGCGTCGCCCTTGCCTCGGAGCAGGATGTCTCTGTACGCTTTCTTCAGAGCTGAGCAGGCTAGAACGACACGCTGTCCTGAGGCGCCGTCTCTGTTCAAACAAACAAACAAAACACCCAGGGGAGGAGGAGGAAGGGCTAAAGAGTGAAGACATTTAAAATACTGCCCTGGCCGTTTGGCTCAGCGGTTAGAGCGTCGGCCTGCGGTCTGGAGAGACCCGGGTTCGGTTCCCGCTAAGGGCATGTACTTCAGTTGCAGTTTGTCCCCGACCCTGGTTGGTCGTGTGGGTGGCAGCCACTCGATGTGTCCCTTTCACGTCAATGTTTCTCTCTCTCTCTCTTCCTCCCACTCTATCTGTACAAAAAATGGAAAAATGTCCTCGGGTGAGGATAAAAAAATAAATAAAATACTTGGTGTCCATTCTGGGTTGAGTCCAGTACCACTTCCCCTCCAGGGGAAGGTGTTAGGAAATGCCGGTCGAGATTCAGGTTGTCCTGGCTTTGAGGCAGAGATCTTCCACTAGTGAACTGAACCATCGTGGGCAAGGTACATACTCCCCTGACCATTAATCCATCACCCGTTAAACGGGGCTACTCAGGACCTGCCCTCAGAACCACGGTAAGGAAAGGGTTCTTCAGGGTGCGGGGCCCACAGAAGTGCTGGGAAGCATTGGCTCGGAGCCTGTGACCATTTTTCAAATACTTTTATATTGATACGGTTCTTAGTACTTCTCCTTTCGTCTTGCTAAATCTTCACAATCATCTGTGACTAGGAACTATTTAACCCCCTTTTCAAAGGAAGAAACAGGCTCATAGAAGCCAAGTGGCTAAGATTCCCAGCTGGTGATTGTGGAGCTGTCTAGGTTTGTGTCCAGAACCCAGCTAAACACATATGTCTGTGGCTGCTTGAAATCACTGCTAGAAGTACATTCCATTTCTGGGATCCTTTATCATCAGTCGGTTGTGATTTCAAGGGTATTTTTCCCTGTGCTTTCTGAGGGATGTTCTTTACTCCCTGGCTTATGCCAAGGCCGGATGCTCTTACCTTAGTAAAATGTCGTGCAAGCTGCAAAGCCATGGAATCCTGTCCTGCAATCAGAGCAGACACCAAGTGACTTTCCCAGGGGTTGTGTGTACAGAAACAGTTCATCTTCGACCATGGTGAGGTCCCGCAGGATCTGAGTGGTTTTGAGAAGTAGGCCACACACTTCTCAAGTCCCTGGGCAGTTGAGCACAGATACGTTTTCCAGGTTCGTCTCATTGCTGATAGTCCCCACATGCAAGGGTGACGGGGAGCCGTGGGCCCCCACCAGCAGCCCAGTGCTTAGAGGTAGTGGGCACAATGAATGTTCTACCAGGAGTAAAGTCAGAACATCATGAGGACAGAGGAGGATTCTGGGCCTGTGGTTTCAGTGATCTGATGGAAGCATCTCAGAAAATAAAAATCCTCTGGAAGGGGATGACAGTCACAGGGAGAAAGGGAGCTGGAACTCAGGAACAAGTGGAGGTGGAGTGTGTCCACTACTGCCAGGGGAGGCAGCGGGGTGGGGGGCAAGGGAAGGGAACCAGTTTTACCTGGTGTAAAAGCGAATTTAAGACCATAGAAGAAAGAAGTACATATACACGTCTGTATAGATAAGATATTAGCAACAGTAATAAATACAAAGTGATATTTACTGAAGGCTTTGGGTACTTCTCTGTTTGTATTATCTCACTTAATCCTCGCAAGAACCCAGTGAAATGGTACCATCTCTACTCCAGGGGAGGAAAAGGAGACACGCGGAGACTAACCCATTTGCCAAAGGTCACACAAGCTTAGTGGCAGGGCCTGGTTATCTGCCTTATTTCTTATCTCTACTATAAAATCAGTATTGTTTATTTCTCTATTTCTTTTATGGTTCACTCTTCCTATCTTCTAGAGTCAAATGTTGCGAACTTGATTTAAATGGTTCAAGGCTTGAATCATTGCGAACCCCAGCTGCCCTCCCTGAGACAGAGGGAAGTGCGCCCTTACAACGCTCCAGAATTAGACCCCCTAAGGTGTGAGCCTCTAGTCCTTCAAGGCAGGACAAAAGGAAGAGATTGGGCGAAAACAGCAGTGCTGGTCTTTGGCCGGTTCCGTTCTGCCCTGTCCTTTGGACACTTAGCATGTGGGCCTGGCTGGGTCCCTGCTCCGTGGACCCGGACCTTGACCCTGCCATCAGCGTCTCCTGGGCTACAGCCAGTGAAGCCAGCAAATCCAGTGTGTAAATCTGGCTTGAGAGGCCCCTAGGAAATGGCCTCAAGATGGCATGTATGGGAATGAAGTGCTCTTCGTTCATTTCTTCTCCCCTTCATTGATTAACTCACAAATATACGACAGATACTCTGTGACACTTATTGTGTGTGAGGCCCTGGGGATATACAATGGAACAGAAATGGCCACAGTCCCTGCTATTTTGGAGGTAAAATCTAGTTGCAGAGATTAACTATTAATCAAATTCTCACACCATCAAATGCCAAGTTGCAACTGGGACATGGGCAATAAGGGACATGTTGCCAAGAGAGTTGATTATTTGAGGTTTTAAGTAGGTGAGGGAGGACTTGCTTGGAGAAGTGGCGCAGGAGCTGAGGTGTGAAGGATGAGCAGAGTCAACTAGGTGGCGAGGGGAAGGAAGCATATTCCAGGATGTGGGACCAGCAGGTGCAAAGGCCCTGGAAGGAGCATGGCAGAAGGAACGGAAAGGGTCCAAGGTGGCTCCAGGGGAGATAGGGAAGGGGATGCACAGCAACTAAAGAGCGGAGTGGGTCAAGGTCATTCTGGGGTGTTTGGTCTTGACCCTGAGATTGGTGGGAAACTTCCAAGGGCCAGATTGGAATTTGCAAAGATCACTCTGGCTTGGGGTGGAGATGGTAGCATGCTGATCGGACCTGGGAAGGGAAGATGAACTTCTCCACATGTGAAGTCCTCTGAGGGATTATATTCTGCACATTAAATGACGCCACAGTGTTCTAGCCGACCCCGCCCAAGCTGGGCCAGAGTGGGTGCATCGCTCCTGAGCTGAGCTGAGGAGCGCAGGGCCAGAGCTGACCGTCGCTGAGGCCCCACAGCGTGCCTGGCTGGAGCGCTGTCCATGAGTGATGTCATGACTCAGAAGCGGAACTATACCGAGCGCTGCGAAGATCTCAACTTGTGTCGCTCAGCCGGAATATTTGAGCTGGGACAGACAGTGGACATTACCTGGTCATTCAGTGGAATCCCTTGTCTCATCTTCATTCGATTTTCCTCTGGGTGATAATCATCTGCATCATAGAATTTCCATCCTAGCTTTAAGAACAAAGTGGAAGGATGTATGTGGCAGGCAGTGCGGCCCACCCTGCCACCCTCTGCCACCGTGGTCGGAGGGCAGCCCCCAGGGCAGGAGGGAGGAGGTCTGGAATGCCACGTTCAAAGATCCCCGCCCAGGGCCACTGCAGCTCCTTTTTCACTCATCACTACTTATAATCACCAAGGGGAAGGACAACTTTGCTCCAGTGGTTTTCACAAGCCCCGTGGAGGCACTGTGGTGAGTTCTATAAATCACCACAGGCGAGAAGAAAGGGCGAGAAGCAAGGAGACAACTTGTAAGTGGGAGGCATTAGAACAGGTTACCTCAGATGCCAGCAGGGCGCCCACGGTCGACCTGTGGAAAGGACAGATGGTCAAATGACTGCTCGTTCCCAAACTACACCGTGTCTCCTGTCCGGGGACGGACGCGCCGATGCCATTAAAACACCAATAACTAGCCTGGGCCGATTGGTGTGTAGCTCAGTAGATTGAGCATCATCCTGTGCACCAAGGGGTCACCAGTTCGATTCCTGGTTGGGGCACATACCCATGTTGAGGGCTATATCCCCAGTAGGGGGCATGCAGGAGGCAGCCAATCAATGTTTCTATCTCTCCCTCTTTAGCTTTATAAAAAAAAAAAAAAATTACACACACACACACACCAATACTAAGGTATTGAAGCAGCAAGAGTGATGCTCTTGACCCTGGAGTCTAGGGCTTGACTTTAGTTTTCTCCAGGAATTTAAATGAAATAATTACGCAATTACCACTAAGTTCTCCCCACCCCAAGATCTCATTAAACTCCTGAAGTTTTTTTGACCCTGTTCTATAGATGTTTATTCTTTTTTTTTTTTTTTTATCCTCACCCGAGGACATTTTTCCATTTTTTGTTCAGGTAGAGTGGGAGGGAGAGAGAGGAACAGAGAGAGAGAGAAACATCGATGTGAAAGGAACACATCGAGTGGCTGCCACCTGCACAACCGACCAAGGCCGGGGACAAACTGCAACCGAGGCACGCGCCCTTAGTGGGAACCGAACCCGGGTCTCTCAGGACCGCAGGCCGACGCTCTAACCGCTGAACCAAACCGGCCAGGGCTATAGATGTTTATTCTTTTAGAAAAATACTGAATTAATAACATGATCAATTAGATCTTAAAATCCTTCACTCCTCTCTCCCTCTCTTATACCCTACATCCAGTCCATTAACACATCTTTTGGCTCTACCTTCAAAATACCCCAGCACGTATGGCCACTTCTCTTCATCAGCATTGTTTCTCTGACCTCATCTCCCACTACTCATTCACAATGGCTTGCAGGTCCACGAAGACACCAAGCCTCAGGGTCTTTGCACTTGTCATTTGCTCTGCCTACAATGCCCTTTCTCTGGCTATCCCTGTGGCTCATTCCCTCGCTTCTTGTGGGTTAGTCAAATACCACTTCCTCTGAGGTGCCTCCCTTGACCATTCTGCCTGGCACTTAGTTCCACTTACCCTCCTGTGTTTTCCTATAGAGCATCTCCCACCACCTGGCACACTAGACATGTCTATTCAGTTACTGCCTGTCTCCCCTATTAGAATGTAAACTCTTCGACAGCAGGGATTTTATCTGTCCTGGTCACTGTGTCAGTGACAGAGTAGATATTTACTGAGTGCATGGCTATCATAACCATAAATACAACCATATAAATGATCTGGTTCCGACCCCCCTCTTCTGATCCAAGGCAGAGAAAGGTGCTGCCCAAGCTCACAACCAAGCAGCAGTAGAACCAGGACCTAGGACTTCCACTACATCACACCAGTCTTCACATTCTCAACTTCAACTCACAACAGTTAGGGAGTCTCAGCCTGCATGTTTTATTTTCATTTCAGTTAAGATTCTCCAAATTATTTTAATTTCTCAAGATTTGAGGCTAAAAATGCCACAATAAATTTGGAAAGCTAAACCTACCTACCTGGAGCAAGAAAGAGTATAATACACACGTGACCACGGGCAGTTCCTGGCAGTTAGACTTTAGTCTAATCAAGAAGCCAAAGGCTGGCGCCCCCAGCCGTGGCCAGTGCCTCCTTCCTCACAAGCCCTCAGGGGCCTCCCTCCACATTAACACCGGCTCCTTCCAGCTTTAGCTGATCATATCTCTAACCAAAGACGGGAAGCAAGAGTCAATTCACGTCCCCAAATCTAATCAGAAGGCCCAGGGCCTCGCAGGAGGAAGCTGAGGCTGTGCCTAGCCTGACAGGTCTGTAGGAGCCTGGGACCAGGTCCGCCCTCGCTTCGGGCTTCGGGCTTTGCACCCCCACCTTGTTCTGCCAACCTCCGAACACAGGCACTTGCAACCGCCCCCCACCCCCCGCTCCGGGTGCCCCAGCGGGCGCCTCTTTCAAGGGCTTTCGCTAGAGCCTCTCGGCGCAGACGGAGTCCCCGGACCCCGGAGGGGGTGCCGCGCCCGGTGCCCCGGGGCGAGCAGGCTAGAGGATGGGAGGGAGCAGGTGCCCCGGGTCTGTCTGCGGCACGTCGGAGGGAGCTCCCCAGGGCCTTCCGGCCGTCGCCCCGCGCCGCCGCCTCCCGGCCCCCCGCGCCCCGGCCCTCCGGGACCTACTTCCCCGAGCCGCTCACGCCCATGACCAGCAGCGCTGCGGGCGCCGCCATCGCCCCGGCGGTCCCCCCGCCGCCTTCCGGGCCATCGCCCCGCCTCCCGGGCGCCGAGGGCGGAGCCGCGCGGCCAGGACTCGGCTCCGCGCCGCACCCCGTCTTCCTGGCCGCTCCCCGCTGTGTCCCTGCGCCGCCGCGCCCCACGCTACCCCCGCGTCTGCGTCCGCGGGTAAGTGGAGCCGGCGGCGGGCGGGGCGCGGGCCGGACCCCTCCACCTGCCGTCCTCCTCCCTCCGCCCCGCCCGCCGCCGGGGCGCCTCGCCCGCGAAGGCCAGACTCTCCCTCCTGCTCCTCCACACCAGATGGAAACAGCTTGATATATGTAAAATGTAGTTGTCGCCCTGGCTGGGCAGCAAGGTAAGGTTGCGGGTTCGATTCAGGGCACGTGCAAAAATCAACTGGAGAATGAATGAATGGGTGGAGCAACAGACACCTCCCTTTCTCTCTGCCCCTCCCTCCCTCTCCCTCTGAAAACAATCAATAAATTAAAAATAAATGTATTGTAAAAAGAATAAATGGATGATAAATTCACACTTTCCCACACCACATGGGAATAAACATCCATCCCCCAAATGATCCTTCCTCCCACATAGGTAGATGCCCCGCGCTTCGGGCTTTGCACCCTCCACCTCGTTCTGCCAACCTCGGAACACAGGCACTTGCAACCCCCCCCCCCCACGTGTGAATATTTTATGAAATTGGGATCATGCTGTACACAGTGTTTTGAACCTGGCAATTTGTCACAATAATAGGAAGCAGGTGTCTTTTGGTGTCAGTATAGATTAGACCACAGTAGCACATGTCATGGCTGTGGGCCTCTGCTATTTAATCCTCCTGTTCTCTCGTAAATTAGTAAGGGGAAGGAGCACCTCTTTGAAGGGCCCATTTGCTACAAAACAATGTGTTAATTACGTGTCATTTAAAATATTTGATTACAGGACCTAACCCACTTATACTAACACCCAGCACCCTCGGTGTACAGTGATGAATCAGGACGCTGGGCCAGAGGCGTTTGTGGAAAGTTTCCCTATTAGTGTACAAGTTGAACGTGTTGCACCACCTATTGAGAGCCATGTTCCTGCGCTCCTCATCCTATATAATGATGAAGTTCGGCAAAACATTCTTCACTCCCTGTGTGTACAACTACATTATGCAGTGTGGTTCCTGCACCTAAGTCAGTTTTTTAGGGTTGAGAGCCATCTCAAGAGGCAGGATGGTTCGGTTGTATCATGGGTACCCACAGGATGTGGATCTAGTTCACATAGGATCGCAGCCGTGCCTGATGATGCACCTCACTGCCTTGGACTCTGCAATGCCACACAGCATATACTCTAGCAGCTCTGTATCAAGACTCCAGAGACAATTCACACAGAAGAGCTGTGGAAAGCCGGTTTAATGCGTTCAAGGCAGCAGCTGGCATGAGTATCATGCATACAAATTGCTCCCCATTGGATACATCATCATATGTAGCAAATTTAGCCACTTAAAACTGGTCCCATCATATGCTAATTAATATTTGTCTACAAAGGTTGGTGGTATAGCCCAACCATTAATGGTCCAGGTTCACATGATGGCCAAAGAAGTGCAGATGGTTTCCCTCGTGGCCATCAACACATTTCTCAAAGATGTTGACTTAGCTCTTATTCTAATTCCCAAAGTTAGAGATGAGATGCTGACATTCCATGAGGCATGGAGACACTTGGAGCAAGAAGCTGGATCCAACTGGCTTCCATATGCCAAGGCTACACACCATCCAGTGGCTGCCAAGGTGGCCCCATCTGCCTTCCAAAACTTGCATCAGCTGCCTTATGCCATGCATCAGAGACAAGGGCCACTCTGAAGAATGACCAGCAAGGCCATCGGATCCTGGGCAGAATACCTGAAACAAAGCTCCAGGATGCATTTCGCAGGAAGCTCAAGAAAACAGGGCAGTCAACATTTACTGATGAGTAGTGGGCAATCCTAAGATCACTCAAGACATCGTAAATGCTACGCATGGATCACGCAAGAGACACAGGGATCAGTCTCCTACTTCAGTGAACGAGAATGATTAAAACATAAATTTAAAAATATAAAATATTTGATTATAAGCACTTCCCAATTTGCCCAATCTCCTTTGTTAGCCAAGTTCATATTACTAGGGGTCCTCAAAACAATAAGGCTGACATAAAGCATTTGCCTAATGAATATTTCAATTACCCCTGCACTGACTGTTTTTCCTACTTAGCCAGAGTGGGTGAGAATTCAGGGTTCCTGGATAGGGTTGTTGCAGATGAAGAAATTGAGACCTGGAGAGAGGGGGTGACTGGTCTAAAGTCTTACCATTCAGTTACTGTCAATGACCAATTTCTTGAGCATCTACCAGCCACGAGACTCCAAAGCTGACTCTTACCTTCCAGGTGCTTGCAGGCATGTACGGGAAGAAATGTAAACAAACAAACAAACAAACACTGTAACTTGTGCTCTGCTTTACCAGCTCTGGCAAAAAAAATTAGTTCTCATGTCTTTCAGTGTTCAAATCATAATGATTAGTAGAGTCTAGTCCTTCTCCCCAAATTTCCCTTCCCAAGATATGTCCAAAGGCCACAGATTTGCAGTACTAGTCAAGGTGGTGGGAAGAAATAGCACACTCAAGTTGGGTCATTCACAAAGGGTTTGACAAAGGGGCCATTTACAGAGATGCGCCCTGACCAGGAATCAAACTCCCAACCTTTTGTTTTACGGGACCATGCTCCAACCAACTGAGCCACCTGGTCAGGGCTATACAATATATGTTTTAAATCACCATCAATCTCATCAGAAAGTCTTTAAGTCTTAGGAAGCAATGAAGCACCCAGGGGACCTCAGGGTTGTGGACCTCCCTTTGAGAACTGCTGTTTTGAGTTGTCTGTGAACTGCCAATGTAGGCTGTTAGCTTCTGCTCTCATTGTCTTTTCTAACCAACGCTGAGTTAAAGAATATAAGGTTTCTAATTTTTTTCCCATAACTTTGTTAAAGGTCTGTCTTCTCCACTTGACTCTTGTCTCCATGTTTGTATCCTTAGCATCTGGAGCTGTGCCTGGTGCAGGGGCACAGTACTGCTCAAAATACCCTGTGAAATGAATGGAAGGGAGGAGAGGAGGAAGGGAGAAAGGAAGTGGGGGAGGGAGAAAGGAGGAGCCCTCAGGTACCTCTCTGGCACAGACAGGCATGGACTTCAGGTTAAACCTGACCCCTAGTGGTTGCTGGATGAGCTGGATTGAGCAAGTTGCAAGCAGAAAGCAACTTACTACCCTCAAGTCCATTCAGTCACTTGTTTTTCTCTGCCCCTGAATGAAATTCTGAGCCTGCTCAGTAGTGTTCCTATTCCTCATAGAATCAGTGTGGTAAGGCTCTAATTCCTGGCTTTGCAAGTCCATGAAATTGATTTCTGTTAGTCTATTCATGTTTGATTAGGCCCGGAGAGCTGATTCCAGAGCAAACTCACAATAGGTTGCAAATGTGAAGGTATCTTGTTATCTATAACTTTCTGTTAAAAAGTGTTAGTTTCTTTTTATTGAGATATTATTGACATATAACTGGGTAGGTTTAAGGTTTACAACATGTTGACTTGATACATTTATATATACCACCGTAGTGTTAGCTAACACCTCTGTCACGTCATATAATTATCATTTCCTTTATTTGTGGTGAGAACAATTAAGATCTAGTCTCTTAGCAACTGTGAAGTTTATAATCCAGTATTGTTGTCTATAATCACTAGGCTGTGCATTAGATCTCCAGGACTAATCTGCTAGTTGCAAGTTTATACCCTTTAACAACATCTCCCAATTCCCTGACATGTTAGTTTCTTTTAATACGAGCCTGATGTATAAGTCCCAGAGCTAACTCATGCATTTGTGTTTACAATTTAGCTCATCCCATTTAGGTTACAAAAAACCTGAGAAAACAAAGGATTAATCAGAAGAGTGTTTGGTGGGCATGGATTCAGAATGAAAAAGTATTGAAGGGGCTGGGCAGATGTTTACCACAAGCCAGGAAGAGTTAATGAGCCACAGCCATTACTCTGTGTTGTTCACTATTTCCTGTCCCAGGAATCCCTGGAGACTCGAAGGAGACCGTGGAGCTGTAGCTCCTTCGAGTCATGCCCATTCTCATCCTTTCTCCGTTTGCTATTGGTTGTTTCTCTTTCACTGTGTTGTAAAAGCCTCTTTGTGTATTTGTTTGTATTATATTTTTTCCAGTTTGTCCTTTATTACTTTATAGTATTTTATTTTTGCCCTGGAGAAGTTTAAAATTTTTATGTACCATAATTTCTGAAATATTTTTTCTCAAATGCAGCTAGTACTCATACTCATAGCACTTTTTTTTTATCCTCAACCGAGGACATTTTTCCATTTTTTGTTCAGATAGAGCGGGGAGGGAGAGAGAGAAAGAAACATCGATGTGAAAGGGACACATCGAGTGGTTGCCACTCGCACGAACCAACCAGGGCCGGGGACAAACTGCAACCAAGGTACATGCCCTTAGCGGGAACCGAACCCGGGTCTCTCTGGACCGCAGGCCAACGCTCTAACCGCTGAGCCAAACCGGCCAGGGCCATAGCACTTTTTATATACTACACTAAAATGTTTGATATTTATTTCTGACCTGTCAACTGGATCATTTTATCATATAAAACATATTTTATGCATATTAGAAAAATAAATAATTAAAAGATTTAGTAATTTCTTTTGTTATCAGTTTATTTTTGTTGTTCAGATAGAGTGGGAGGGAGGGACTGAGGGAGGGAGGGGGAGAGAGAGAGAAAGAGAGATAGAGAGAAACATCGACGTGAAAGGGACACATCGAGTGGCTGCCACCCGCACAACCAACCAGGGCCGGGGACAAACTGCAACCGAGGTACATGCCCTTAGCGGGAACTGGACCGCCGGCCGTCGCTCTAACCACTGAGCCAAACCGGCCAGGGCCAGTTTATTGTTTTAATTATTTACTGGTAGTGCTCATTTACAAAATTGGCATGT